AAATTCTATGATTTTGTCATTTTTTAATGCAGAGTAATACTCCATTGTGTATAAATGCCACATTTTTTTTATCCATTCATCTATTGAAGGGCATCTAGGTTGGTTCCACAGTCTTGCTATTGTGAATTGTCCAGCATCATCTTAATGGCTCACCTCTCAACCAATACTATTGGCAAAATGCCAGGGGCCAACAAACTCCCATTGCTCTACCTCCCATTCTCACTGAATTCCTTGAACTGGAAAGAAATACTTCAGCTCCTCAGGTTTCATCACGTGTTCTCCCTCTTGCCTTCCCCTCCTTCTACATATTCACTGCTGTAAGCTTTAGCTCACTCGGTGCTGCCCAATCGCTTACTAGACTCCTTAGCAACCCTCTTGTCGCTGGGGCTCTCTTGCCGCCCCTCCTGGATAACAAGGACCTTGGATAACAAGGTACTGGATAACAAGGACCTTGCAAGCAGGAGCTCCATGAGACCTTTGTTGCCTTGGTGCGCTCGACTTTGCATGGTGCCCTCCCTCTTCAAACACACACACACACACACACAGTGCTTGCTTGGTTTCTGTCTCCACCCACCAAGTGCCTCTTAGGACGCGGGACTGGATAGGACTTTGTTTTCTTTTCCTGCCACTATATTGACTAGGGAGAAATGGCAAAGGAAACCTTGGGAGGGGTCCTTGTGGGCACTCAGTCGGAGCCTGGTGACCTGCATAATCCATGCCCTCACACTCAAATGGGATAGTCTGAAGGGTGTAAGCAGAATTTGGGAGTCTGCTTGCCATAAATAGCCTGCTTTCCTCTTCTTTAATTATATCCCTTCCAGGAAAACCTAACAGAATCCCATTTCCCTTCCATTCTGTTTGCTGTGGCTTTGTGAACTCCTATCACATCCCCAGCCCCTTTCCCAGCCTCTTCGGTGCCTTCTTTTCTTTGTTACAAAACCTAGGAATTCCCACTGTACTCTGAAACCTTCCCTGAGTAGAAATCAGATAAGGTTCTCATCACCCCCAAAGTAATTGCAACAGGGACTTAAAACAACTTTGCGCCAATAAGAAACTTTGAGTGACTGAAACAAGAGCCAGTTCCCAATTCCAGGAGATGGCAATGGGGCTCCTTCCTGCCTAACCTGAATATTGTATAGTTGCAGAAGTGGGAAGAAAAGGACAGGAACAAAGGGCACCACATAGAATCCAAGCTGTGTGAGTTTGAACAGGACACTCTCCCTCTCTGTGTTGGAGTGTTTTCATGTTTAACAGGATAATGATGGTTTCCCTGTCATTCTCATGGGTTTAAATGTTAAAAGAACTTACACACATTGTTAGTATAACATCGATTATGGTGGCGAATGCTTTTGAGGACCTTGGGAAAATATTGCTCTACCTCCCAATTACTATGCTATTATCTTCTCCTTTATTAATTGGAGCCAATTTTCAGGGACATTTCATCTAATCAACTGCCAACAGGAGTATAAGGTCAATTCTCTGTAAAATTAGGACAGGGCGTTTGGGACATTTAAATTAAAAACACAATAGAATATCATTACTTACCTATCAGAATGGCTAAAATAAAAAATAATGACGATGCTAAATGCTGGTAAGGACACAGAGATATTAGATGACTCAGTCATTGCTGGTGAGAATATAAATGTACAGCCACTCTGGGAAACAGTTTGGCCGTTTCTTGTAAAACTCAACATGCAATCCCATATGAGCTGGCAGTTGCACTCTTGGGCATTTATCCCAGAGAAATGGAAACTTATGTTCCTGCAGAACTTGAACACCAACGTTCATAGCACCCTTATTTGTAATCGCTAAAGACTGGTATCAACTCAGACATCCTTCAGTGGGTGAATAGTTAAACAGACGAAGTACACCATACCATGGAATACCACTCGGCCAATAAAGAAGAACCAACTATTGACATACATAAGACCTTGGGTGACTCTCCAGGGAATTATGCTGAGTGAAAAATGCCAATCCCAAAGGATTACTGTATGAGTCCATTTATGTAACATCCTTGAAATAACAAAAATATAGAAATGGAACAGATGAATGGTTGCCAGGGGCTAGGGAGAAGACAGTGGACAGGGAGGTCCTGAAGGAAAGTGGGTATGGTAACATGAGAAATACGTTCACGAAACTTGTTAGTATTTTGACTGTAGTAGTAGGTATTTGAAACTACCTATGTGTTAAAAATTGTATAGAACTAAGTATACACACATGCACACGCACACACAGGAGCACAAGTAAAATTGAGGAGATCCCAACAAGATGGTGGACTTTCACCAATGTCAGTATCTGATTGTGATATCAAATTCTAGTTTTTATAAGATGGTACCATTGGAGGAAATAGACTAAAGGGCACACACGATCTCTGTATTTTTTCTTTCTTTCTTCCTTTAAACTTAAAAAAAAAATTTGTTGTTGTTGTTGTAGATGGACAGCATGCCTTTATTTTATTTATTTTTATGTGGTGCTGAGGATCAAACCCAGTGCCTCACACGTGCTGGGCAAGTGCTCTGCCACTGAGCTACAGCTCCTTACCCTCTCTGTATTATTTCTTACAACTAATGTTAGTTTTTAATTGTTTCAAAATTTAAAATTTAATAAAAAAATATTGAGGCAGTTTCAAAGCTAGCGATGGTCAGAATTCATCTTAGCATTTTGTTTTGGAGATGCAATTAATATTTGTTAGAATTGGAGAGCCAACTTTTAACATTGTTTTGGTATTTTGGCCAATTGGTCATTTTCAGAGAAGGAAGAAGCTGAGAGTATGAATAGAGCCCCCTCTCTCATACCATAACTTTAAAATAACACAATGGGGTGGAAACACAACGTCTCTCTGGACCAAAGTTCTTAGAAAGTAAGTACAGGATATTCCTTGAGCAAAAGCAGAGAGCAGGAATAGGTCAAGTTCAAAGCGCTTTTACATCTGGCCTGGGGTTAGGTCTGGATCCAGACTGACTGGATTGAGTTTGAAACTCTTGATGATCTAGGTGGGACACCGCCACCTTGCATTGGGAGCCAGGTGACGGTAGGAGGCTTCTCTAGTAATATTAACCCAGCTCTCAGGTCTGTTCTCCAGCTTCATGGCAGGCGACATGTGGTGACCAGGAATCTGACTCCTGGCTGCCAAGCTGTCTCTGTAGGGGAAGATTTTCTTTCTTGAGAGTGTGTGTTAGAATTGTGAGGGCAGGAGACAGTGGTGCATGATGGTTCTCTTTCCTTTGAAGTTGTAGGACAGTCCCATCTGGACAGCACCATCGAGGATCAAGAGATTGTTACTAATCCGCCAGACATTTGCCAAGTTGTGGAGGTGACCACCGAGAGTGATGAGCAGCCAGTCAGCATGAGTGAGCTGTACCCTCTGCAGATTTCCCCCGTGTCTTCCTACGCAGGTGAGTGGGCAGGAGGGAAAACTGGGGACTGAAGGGGGAAGAGGAAAGAGCCATCCTTTAGTCTAGCTCCACCCCATCTCACCACTCAACAGAGCATCTCCCCTCTGTCCTAGGAATTCTTCTTGTTGGAGTTATTTTATTTTCTTGACCAGCATCATCTTGGACACTTTTTTGTTTTCAGCTAGATAACGTGTTCACAGCATTCTCTGCATGATTGCCCATGACATGTTCATCCAGGACTAACAAATAAGATTTCTTGGTGGACTTAGAAATCATCTTTTCCAATTCCTTTATTTTCAGATGCTAAGGGCCCCACACAGCCATTAAATGTATGGGCCAGGATTTCAAGTCAGCTTTCAGACCTCAAAGTCATTGTTAAAGCCATTCCATTCCACCAGGTTTATCAGTCACTTCCATTGGTTTCTCCTTTTTTTTCCTATCTATTTCAGCTTCCAACAGGGCCAAACAACAGAACCCATTTCTAATTCCCCACAGAACTGGTCCCATAATTTCAGGAATCTGTCCAGACAGAGTCAGAGGATTAGAAACAGTTTCAGAAAAATGATGGCTCCTTTACCAACATGACTTCATCTTGTATTTTCCTAATGATCTCCATTTAATTTTTTGGAACTCAATTATAATTAGGAAATTTAAATTCTGAGCAGTGTTATTGCTTGCATATATTAAAAATAAAAAGCAGAGGCCCTCTCCTGGGAAACTACAGTTAGCTCTAGGAAATGGTTGGGGATTCTTCCTGGTGTTCTTTGCAGACTGCCAGGGAGAGTGTCTTCCAGCTAGGGTGCCACCCCAGTGACTGGCACAGAAACAGCATGACAATTGAGAGTGGATTCAAATGCCTGGTTGTTTGTATATTAACAGACACTAAATTAACCTCATCTTCCATGAGTGCCTACTTTCTTTTTTAACTTATTTTTTAAATTGTGGTAAAATACATATAGCACAAATTTGCTATTTTTCCATGTATAACTCAGTGGCATTAAGTGCATTCATGGTACTGGGCAACCCCCAACCACCACTGTCTCCAGAACTCTTTTCATCTTGTAGAACTGAAACTCTGTACCCATTATACACTCCCCCTCCACCCACCCCTGGCAACCACCAATCTACTTTCTGTCTCTATGAATTCGGCTACTCTAGGTAGCTCTTATGAGTGGAATCATATAGTATTTAACCTTTGGCAATTGGCTTATTTCACTTAGCCTATGTCCTAAATTGCTTTTGTGTTAGGAACATAAAAGCAATGTGGGAACAAACCTTGGCTAAAGGAATAATCTGTCAAATGTGATAAGCTTTTCATCAGTTGTTCATTCATCAAACCTATTTTGAACTCTTCTATGTGCCAGGCCGGATTTGGTCTTAGCCAGTTTCCAATAACTGTATTATTTGTTGCATGTCTATTGTGCCATGGGAATATGCTAGATGCTTGGTGTTGACTGACTTGCTTAATTATCAAGAAATTAACCCTGTTAGCTGGAATATCATCATTATTCTCTCTTTAAAAAGGAGGAATCTAGGGCTAGGATGTAGCTCACTAGCAAAGCGTCTGCCTTGCATTAGCAAAGCCCTAGGTTTGAAGAACAAAAGAAAGAACCCCACCAAAATAATAACAACAACAACAATAAGATTTTTTTTTTAAATGAGGAATCTAAGCCTAAGCAGGTTAAGCAGTCTGTCCAGGGATGAAAAACTGGTGGCACAGACAGCATCTGTGTGTAGCTGATGCCAATGGCCTGGGCTTGACCCCTCACACTGCAGTGCTGCCCTGGACACATCCACTTCCTCTGAGCTCCCTTGATACTTACAGGAAGCCACTGTAGGAGGTGGAGACGAGTGTTTAGGTCTTAACCATGGAGTAGAGGTACCTGAAATGTGAAGGACTAAGACATTTTGCTCATATTTTTATAACTATGGCTAAAAATCCCATGGCTTTCTTCTATGTCATGTTGCTGCTGGCATTGTTACCATGTGGATGAGTGGGTTTTTTTTTTTTTTTTTTTGGCAGGTGGAAGGGTATTTGAGCTTGAGAGTTGACTTTCATGTTTACCTGTGGAGCAGGTCTTTTCTGAAGTCTTCCTTGGGGATTCTGGAAAGATCTCTCCTTGCAGGGGTTCCAGCAGTGGCATTTTGCTTTAGCAGGAGAATCCCAAGAACAGCTAGCTGATCCCTGCAGAGAGAAATGAAAATTTCATTACCCTTTTCAGGATATTTGCATAGATTTCAAAACAAGGATTCCAGTACCAGGATGACCGGCAGCGGGAGGTTTTGTTGGAGCCTGGCTTTTCAGACTGGCCTCTGGATCTTTCCATTGTTTTCATTGTCTGAATTCTCCAGAATCTTTTAGAGGGAAGTTTATTAGATGGAGCCAAAATGTTCCATTGCTGCTGCTTTTCTAGAGCTTACAGACATTCATCAGTTACTGACCATGGCTAGTAGAGGTCTTTTAGTCTTATGTTCCTCAGTAGAATGGGCTGTTTGCCTGTTTTTCATGACAGAATTCCTTTGTTCAGGCTATTCAAACCCAACTCAACCTCCTAACCACTTGCATTCATTTACCTGTTAAGGAAATTGCTAGTTGGAGGTTACTTGCTATATTTTCCCCCTACTGGTCATGAAATATAATCCAGTAGTATTACAAAACCACATTCAGTTTTGCAGATCTGCCTTCTCAGTCTAAAATATCACAGTGAGAAAGAGAAGAGACAGAATGCAGTTACATACTCAGAGAAGTACTTGCATTGGATGTTTTAAGACAACATAAAATTCTAGTTTGATTTGTAATATTTTCATACTGGGAAGGAATGTTCCAAAGCCCAACCTAGGGAAGCTCAGGGATAGTCATTTTGTTTGTTTGTTTGTGGTGCTAGGAATTGAGCCCAGGGCCTCATGCATGCTAGACAAATGCTTTAAGCCACATCTCTTGCCCTCGTTTTTGTTTTAATTTTTTTTCTTTTTCTTTTAAACTTCATGTCTACCATGAAGTTCCTCTTGCCTGATCTGTGACACCAGGATTAGATTAGGTTATTGATGGCTTTGTAAAAGAGTACCACAGTAGAATTTGGGGGGTGGTGTGTGTGGGGGGGGGGGGGGGGGAGAATAGCCTTGAAAAGGAAGCAATATACAAAGAATTAACTGGTTGTAATCCAGAGAATAGAGATTATACTGACCAATAACCATCAGAGAGGACTTTGGGTCCTTAAGGAAACCACATCAGGCTTTCAAGCTGTTGGTGGAACAGAGATCCATTAGCTTTGACACTAAGGGGATTCTAATTTGAACCATTCAGCTGAGTCTTCTAGTGAAAGTAATTGAGGAAATGATTGATGGAAAGAAATCTTTGTCAGTTTTATTTTGTTGAACAAGAGCCTTGCAGAAAATGTGCTAGGTATCATATAGTGCAAAAATGCATTACATAATCATTCTTCTCTCCATAATGTTCCTGAAATGGCTTAGCAATGTATATTCTCAGGGAGGTGTTAAAAACTGGGCTGTGGCTCAGTGGTAGAGCGCTTGCCTAGCATGTGTGAGGCACTGGATTCAATCCTCAGCACCACATACAAATAAATAAAGGTAAAAAATATATATATAACATTATTAAAAAATATATTTTTAAAAAAATGGGCTAAAGGAGAATGTGAACCCAGACAGTACATCCTAGAACTGATGCTCTGGAAGAATCTTTGAAGTCATCTGATCTATACTGCTTCCTGACCTTTCACTTTAGCTGCTTTCAGGGATATAAACCAGAAAGTTAAGTGAATTACTCACATACCTATTAACTATTGTGTCAGCACTTCCTGCTTATTCGGATTATGCTTATAAAGCAACTCTAATTGTTTTTATTCTGTTGTTTTTGAAATTAGTTTTTACAAGATCCAGACTAATCAAAAGGCAAAATGAAGTAATGCATGTTGGTATTTCAGAGTGACATGAATCTGGAAGCAGCAGCAGCCGCAGTGAACTCATTTATCATGTAAGAAGTCACCGTGGAAACGGCAGTGGCAGAGTAGAACCGATAGACAGAGGAAGTGAGCACTTTGAGCAGCCATTTGGGAGTAGCCCTGAGAACCACTGTTGGTCTGGAGAGAAGACTCTGGGGTCCTTAGGTGGGAACCTCAGGTGTCTCCATCAAGGCCACTTTTTTCAAACAATAAAAGCTGGAGACATCAGTGTGGTAGTCAGCCTTTTTTCACTGACAAAATACCTGAGAGAAACAACTGAAGGGCTGGAGGTATAGCTCAGTGGTAGAGCGTGGGAGAAGAGGAGCTGGGGAGTGCCCCCAGTGACCTCACTTCCTTCTGCGAAGGCCCCCGTCCTACAGGTTCCACTAGTTCCCAATACTGCCGTTGTCTGGGGTCCACGTCTTCAACACGTGATCCTTTAAAGACATTTAAGATCCAAACCACAACACTTAGTTTCTAATTTAGAATCTTCATAACTACTTCAGAAGCAGTCCGTCTTCATTTAGAAATGAAGGTCTTCAACCAGCTTCTGTGTTCGTTGAAACCAAAAGTCCAGAACATGAGAAATAAACATCAGTGTGTTCATTTTCTCATCCACAGCTTTCCCCCTGAAGTTGAAAACTGGGTATTTAGTGAAAATGGACATTCTGATCATATTCATGGTCCGTGCAAGGAGACCAAAGAGTCTTTTTTTTTTTTTTTTTTGCTACCAGAACATGAACCTAGAATCACTTTGCCATTGAGCTACATCCCCAGCCCTTTTTAAAAATTTTTTTTTTTTTTGAGACAGGGTCTCATTAAGTTGCATAGGGCCTTACCAAGTTGCTGAAGACGGCATTGAACTTGCAATCCTCCTGCCTCAGCCTCCCAAGCCTCTGGAATTACAGGGATGTACCCCAGCACCTGGCTTACCAAGGACACTTAACCCAGGATCTGATTTCCAAACCCTCCAGTAACTGCAGCTTGGGCTTGATAGAGTCCCAGAACCTTGGTGTCAATTGCTCATTTTCCTGAGGCTCCAGCCCCCAAAGTATGCCGGGTGGCATTTGTTTACATTTTTATTTGAAGGGAAAGGAACGGAAGATCATGGTATTTATGGAGGGTCGTTAAGAATGAAGGGGGCTTGGCATGCTTGGAAGGAAGGGAAACTTGAGCTTCAGAGCACAAACAAAGCTAAGCATAAAAATGGAAAGGGGATCTTGAACTTTCGCCAGAGCCAGAGCCAATAGGGAAGCAGAGTTGCTGTGTTTGATGGTGTCCCTGGAATCAGAAGTGCAGTTTTGTTTTCTGTCCTCTGTGCTGACTCAGTCCGTGACTTTGGCAAGTTTCTCAACATCTCTGTTCCTCCTTTTCCTTCTTGGGAGCGGCAGCCCAGCCTCTTGCCTCCTCTGGAGACTGGGCTTGTGTGGGGTTATGTTTGGAGGGAGGTTTCCTTTTCTATTGCTCTTCATTTGCTTCTGTCTGGAATATTTCATGTGCTTCTTGTTGTCCTTTGGTCTTCGGAGCTGGGATCATTGTCAGCTAAGCCTCGACCCTTCTTTTGGCATCTGATGCTCCAGCTGTGCTTTGGGGAAATATGCTCCATTCACGCAGTGCAGACGCCTGTCCTTTGGCTGCTCATGTCTCAGCCCTAGCTATGACCCAGGCCTTTGCAGAGCTCCTGGAGAACAATGGCTGAGAAACATGCCGAATGCGCCCTGTGGGATCTGTGGGGTCCACAGGCTTGCTGTTGGGCCAAGGAATGCCACTGTGGCATGAGTTGTCTGTTCTTTAGCCTTTAATGATGTATAGGGAGTTTGATCTGTAGCTCATGCTCTGGGTGGTGGAAAGGACTCAAGTCTGGGCTGCAGCCATCTTGTCCCACAAGGAAGATGTGAGATTGGAAGCCAGTTCCTCATCAGGGATACGGTAGAAGAGTGTGGAAGGCTCTAGAACACACTAGCATTTCTACATATAGAGGGACGATAGTAACCTGCTGTCCAACTTGGAATCCTTGTAAGGTCTAAACAAAGCCTACATGCAAAGGCTGTGGCCCCGCCTGGCCCTAGCACTCCACAAATATCCATTATTACAGTTTCTCTTCAGGCCTCCACTAAAATATAAATGTCCCAAATGGAAAGATTCCTAAGAGCCTATGGTTTGGAAGTTCCACCTTCAGTGCATTCATTTTGACTCTGTTCAACAGGCCTATCACGCAAATTTGATGTTGAATAACTCCAGTTCCTTGTCTGTGCTGTGCAAGGTCCAATGGTAGGCCTTTCCTTAACACCTTCTCACTCACTCATCACACAGTCCTCCTTGGAAGGTGGAAGGGAAGGACACCCTGTATTTTTTCAGATGAGAAAAATATATGTAGCTCCCAGGAATTAAGAAATTGGCTCCGTGTCTCACAACTGGCAAGTGGAATCAGGATAGTAACTGGTTAGTTATCTGTTGCTTCATGACAGTGTGACCACAGACTTAATGGCTTAACACAATACACAGTTCTTATCCCACAGTTTCTGTGGATCATGAATCCAGGTGTGGCTCAGGTGGGTGCTCTGCAGCAGAATCTCACTGACCTGCCGTCAGGGTGTTGGCTGGGGCTGCTATCTCATCTGAGGTTCAGCTGGGAAGAGGTTCAGTTCCAAGCTCAGGTGGTTTTTGACAGAGTTTAGTTCCTCACCGGTTGTTGAACCAGACTTGGCCCTTGGTCTTTTTCCTTGTGAGCTTCCCCAATGGGACCAGCAAGCAGGAGTCTTCTCAAAAGGACAGGTTCCATCTTATGTGACATGGTCATGGAGATGTAAAACCTGGATCCTTTGCTGTATTCTGTTGGTTAAAAGCAAGTCATAGGTCCCACCCACACTCAAGAGGAGGAGGTTCCAAAAAATTGAATACCAGATGACGATCTGAGGCCACCTAAAAATCTGTCACCCAGGTGGAAGAGGCAACTCTTAAGAATCTAAGATAGTGACTAACCAGATGTGGGGTAAAGGCGGGTCTGAGTAGAATGGGAATGATGTAGGAAGACTTCTTGGAAAATGTTCACTCTGAGTTGGGACTTCCCCATGATGACTGACATGGACTGGAAGAGGACCAGCATGGGGCATCATGGCCAGAGCTATAGGGAGAAAAGGGCGTCACAGGGACAGCACCCCATGCTGGCTGGCTCTTGGAAAGTGTGCCTCCCCTTCATTCTCCACCTGCTTTCTCTTGGGGGCCCAAGTCATTCAAACTTACTCCAGCTTGTCCACATAGAAGTGTTTGATCTTATAAAGGGGGGAGTTGATGAATTTGGTTACCCATTTCTCTTTTGGAAAAGAAGTGCTGATATATCTTTTATCAACACTGCCTGAGCTTCAAAACAGCTTGAGCAACAGGAACAAATAATGGTCCTATGTTTTTCTCTCTTTGAACAGAAAGCGAAACTACCGATAGCGTGCCCAGCGATGAGGAGAGCGCTGAGGTAAGCCTGCTTCCTGCTCCGACCCACGTGCCTGTGCTTGTGATCATGTTTTACTTTTGGATGTTTTTGTGTGTCTGTTAAAATATGCATAGCCTAAAATTCACCACCCTTCTAGATTTCAAATTATAAAATTGTTGGGCACCAAATGGGAGGAAAAGGGATAAAATGTCATCCTCAGAAAGAGAGGCTATGACAGCAGGAAAAGGAAACTGAAATTGAGGCCAGGAAATGTTGATATTCTTATCACTGTCAACATCCTAATTCACCAGCAGAAATAGAATGTCCTGCCCGGCCAAAAGCAATGACCAGAAATACAAGCCAGGAAGAGCTTAGCAAGGTTACCTCCACATATCCATGGGTTCCCTCCCTCCGTGATCCTGCGCAGAGGCGAGCGATGTCCAATCTTGATTCCCAGTCTGACTGCTTCTGACTTCCCTCCTATAGCTGGGCCCACACAATGGCAGGAAATGGCTGTAAATGATGATGGAAAGAGAAAAGGGGGTGACAGGAAGAAAGCAGAGAGTGAGGGAGAGGAAGAGAGAAGCTAATGGTGTGTTGAATTAATGATTTCACAATTAATGATTTCAATACATTATAATAAAGTGTGGGAATTCTGAGAAGACAGTGGCTACATTCACATATATTCCTGACTTGCTTCTTCAAGGTCAGAAAATTACCTTTTACTCTGAATGAAGCCATCCTATGTACAGGGCCCCTGTTTGTTGAACACCCTGCATCTCTAAGCTGGCACATTTGAAAACAATCAAAGGCACTTGCTATCTATTCGCGAGTTCCTCATTTCCCTTCCTCTGAAAAATGCAAGTTGACTCAAAGATCTAATTGGGCCAACAGTGAGGACTAAGTTGCCCTGACCGACTGTCCATCATGGCCGGAAGCATATTGAATGGTCTGTGTGGGTGCCTAGAGCATAGAGGAGTCGAAAAGCAAGCTTCCCCTTTCTTTTCCTGCCTTCATAGAATATCCTTAGCCATATTTATTGGAGTTAGCAAGTGGGAACTGATAAAAAGAGAAGAGAAACCATTGCTTGGGGTATGAAGAACTGGGTATAGATTTCAGTTGAAGGATGTACAGTTGCTAAGCCTTTGTTCATTGCATTAACTTAAAAAAAATGTGGTTCTAACACCCGCACATGAGAACTGGAGATTGAACCCAGGGCCTTGCACATGCTGGGCAAGCACTGTACTGCAGGCCTTTTGTGAATTTTTTTTTTTTTTTGAGGCAGGGTCTCCCTAAGTTGACCAGGCTGGCCTGGAATTTGTGATCCTCCTGCTGCAGTCTCCTAAATTACTGGGATTACAGGTTGTGCCCACCCTTGGTGGCACATTTTTAAAAAGGCATTCAGAGGAAGGAAAAGAATATACATATCTGGATTATTTTCTTTGAAAGGGGAGACCACACTGGCGGAAGAGGAACATTGAAGGTAAACAGTACCTCAGCAACATGGGGACACGGAGCACCTACCTGCTGCCCAGCATGGCGACCTTCGTCACTTCCAACAAGCCGGATCTCCAGGTCACCATCAAGGAGGAGAGCTGTCCGGTGCCTTACAACAGCTCTTGGCCCACGTTTCCTGATCTCCCCCTCACTCCCTCCGTGACCCCTGCATCCAGCAGCAGTCGGGACCGAGAGACTCGGGCCAGTGTCATCAAGAAGACGTCAGACATCGCCCAGGCCCGTGTCAAGAGCTGCTAAGCCCTTGAGTCTCCCCGGTGGTTGTTGGGATTTCTTGGCTTTGTGTTGTTGTTTGTTTGTGTTTTATTTTTCTCTCTGACACCTATTTTAGACAAATCTAAGGGAAAAAGCCTTGACAATAGAACATTGATTGCTGTGTTCAACTCCAGCCCTGGAGCTTCTTTTTAACTCAGGACTCCAGCCCCTTGGTAGACGCGTGTCTCTAGAGCCTGCTGGATCTCCCAGGGCGACTCCCTCAAGTTCAAGGACCAACAGCCACACGGGCAGTGGAGGTGCTGCGTTGCCTATGGTCAAGGCCAGCGTGGAGGAGTGGATGCTTCAGAATGGACGAGAAAATGTGAACTAGCTGGAATTTTTTAATCTTTGTGAATATGTACATAGGGCAGTACTAGCGACGCTGCAGTCTGCTTCTGCACCTTATCTTAAAGCACTTATGATAGGCCTTCTTATGATCTTGCTCTATTCCACAGCACATTCATCGTCCCCTTCTCTGCCCTTTACCCTCCACCCATCCCTTCCCATCCCCTCCCACACGGTTCCTTTCCTCCTTTTCCTCCCCTCAGAGGCTGTGATCCACATCCTGGAGGAGGAGGAGAAGGAGAAAATGAACCTCTCCACAGATGTCCCATTTTTAAGACTGCTTGGAGGAAAAAAAAAAATCTTTCTAATCTGCTATGCTTGAATGCCACGCGGTACAAAGGAAAACTATCATGGAAATATTATGCAAATTCCCAGATTTGAAGACGAAAATACTCTAATTCTAACCAGAGCAAGCTTTTTTATTTTTTATACAGGGGAATATTTTATTCAAGGTAAAATTCTAAATAAAATATAATTGTTTTTTATCTTTTCTACAGCAAATTTATAATTTTAAGATTCCTTTTCTTGTTTATCAGCAGTTGTTATTACATCCTTGTGGCACATTTTTTTTTTAATTTTGTAAAGGTGAAAAAAAGCTTTTATGAGCTCATGTAGCAATCAGATTATCCTGTGGATTGATAATAAATGAATATGATATATAGTTAAATTTTTAACGGGCATCACTCCTGGCTTTGTCTGTGTCTGCTTAGAGCACAATCCTGGGACAGGACCAACAAAATGTTTCTTCTTTGGGGCCAAAACTTTTCCCCTTGTTAACCACAAGAGACCCTGGAAGTTCCTACTGTGAAGCTAAAATTGGCTTCCTCTGCTGAATGCCTACCCTGTACTGGGCCCTGTGCTGATTGTCTTACGTGAGTTACCTTCTTGCTCATCCTAGTTGTGCTCAGAATAGGGGTTTATCTCCATTGCCTGTGGAGGAGATGGGAGACATGAAATAAAATGCTTTTCTGTCGGTCACCTGGGCAGGAAGGGGTCATGGGCATGGGAGGACCCCAAGTCTGGAATGACTGTGGAGGGAGCCTGTTAATCCACTCCACTGTTCTCTACTGTGAGCAGATTCTAGCCACCTAGGTTTTTCCTTTTCTCACCCACAGTATCATATTCGTGATCGAAGTTTTGTGTTTGTCACACACTGGGTGCACGGATAGAAAGTTTTCAATAGTGGGGTATCGTCATTGGGTTCTTGCTCCTTGCTCCGTGTTAGTCACTCTTCTTTCTAAGACCAGGAAGTTGGATGCAGGCCCTGCCCTCAAAACTTAAGGTTGGTCCTCCGGAGAGAGCAGTGTGACTTCAAGGACACCAGTCCCCATCACCTGTTTGGTATTTCTAGGTGTAGGCCTGACCTTGAGAAAGCCACCACCCTAACCTCTCATGCTTCCTTAGAACACAAAAACTTACTTGCCTACCCTACCACCTCTGGGAGGTTGTAAGGAGATTGCCGAGTTAATATTTGAAAATTTCCTTAGATTTGTAAAAGGACAAAGGGCTATTTTTATGTCTATCTCTCCATATGTGGCTGCAGATATAATTAGTAGTCGTAAAATTATCCACCCTGAACAGAAATCAACTGAAGTCTATTGCTGGTTGGTGTGCTGCAGGAAGAGGGCGGCACGTGGGTGGCTGACTGCTTCTGGGAGGAGCACCTTCATGGAAGGTGTTTATGTCAATTTCTTAGTGAAAGGAGGAGTCATAAGTCCTAAGTAAATGAGTTCTGTTCTTTATATCAAAATCCTGTTGTTTAGTCCTCCTGTTTTTAAGTGAATTTAAAAGAAGGCAGTAACAGAAGCTGTCCCTGCAGAGGGTTTAGGGCAGCTCTGGTTCTCTGCCCCCTTCCCTCTTCCTGCTCCAGAAAGAGCATCCAGCGCACATCCTACCTCGGTCAGCAGCTCTGCAGGCCCCAGGCCGTTGCCTTCCTCTTCTGTGGCGGTCACCACGCTGGCTGAACCTCACCAGGTGGACAAAAAAACAGGATTCAGAGACATCGATTTAAGTGCTAAAGATGAGGCCGGGGAAAAATAGAATCATGCTTAAAATATTTCTGAGAAGCTCTACTGTTTCTGAGTAATACTTGCCAGTAGCATAGGAGAAGAAGCCAGTTATCCAATGCTTAGGTAGACACAAGGACGGAAACCAGGTGAGTTGGGACATCTTGGGGACTCAAGCCCAGACCCTGTTGTTGTTATTTAGAGGAAGTTCAAGAGACAGGCACTTCATTTGCTTTGCATCTGCGTGAGCTGATACGGTTTTATGATGGGTCTGACTGTGCATGTGTACGTGTGTGTGCTTAAGTAGCAATTTCAGTGTAACCACCCCTAGAACAGTATTTTCCATTTTCTGCAGCCAGTACTTGGGTCCCTCCCTTGATAGCAAAGCTCGTTGACAACTATGGACTATAAATCCAGTCACAGGTACTTCCTGCCCAGCGTTAAATTGCAAGAAGCCAGTGCACCAAACACACCTTGGTGAAAAGGCTTCCAGGGAGGCTGTTTAAAAGTCTAAATAAATCCATACCCATCTGTAGCATTTTTTCCATGTTTAAATGAAGCAACCGCCAAAGACCGTGTTTAATCTATTGAAATGAATTTACAGAGAAGAAGAAATATATGAGCATAAGAAATACAAATTCAATGGACATATTCTTTATTCCCCCCAAATTCAAAGTGTAGTACACTATTGTGTAACCACTACAGAGACAGAAATTTTAAAAATGAGGAACATCAGTGATTTGGTTTCAGGATTCTGTGTTTCGGAGAAACTGTGTTTTGGGGTGCTATTTTGCATATGAATGAAAAAAATGTTAAGTCCCAAGCAGCCCCCTGCCCTGAGTGTGTGAGATAGAACACACTTCTTCCTGGTCATTCTTGGAGCATCAAATTCATTCGGCTTTAGGAGTCCCCTGTTATTCTAGCTTTGAACAAACAGACCCAGAGAAAAGGTGAAAATAAGGATCCCACTTCTCTGCCAAATTTCTGTAAAGAAAGACAAAAAGTTAGGAAAAATTTAACAAAGATGGGTTAGATAGCCAAGATGAGTTCCTGGCATGTAGGGGTCAGATATCAAGACTCAATACTAGTTTGGGCTTGGAAGGAGAATGCAGGCAGAAACTGGCTTAGCTGATGAGGTTTAGCCATAGATCTCATCCTGAAACTCCATCCTATGGCAAACCCATGGCCAGGATGATCGGAGCCAGGGACAGGAACCTGAATGCCAGGGGATCTGGAGTAGCTCCTGCTTTCTGTCCCAGGCTGCAGTAGACTTCCCCTAAAGGTATGAGGGTGGATGCCCATCTCCCCTGGGACTGTAAGCTTCTTGAGGTAGTGGGGTCTCGATCACGTATTCACATCCCAACAAGTGGAACAAGGTCAGGTATCTGGTAGGCAATTGCTCACAAGAGCTTCTCTTCCCCTTTGCCCCATCATTCCCAGTGTCAAGACAATAGGGCTGTGTTCCTCAGCTGTGCTCCTTAGCAATGAGGCCAGCCACAGACCTGAAGCAGGGAGCTCTGGCTGTGCAAAGCTGCAAGTCAAAAGATACATACAGGAAGATGGTAAGTGAGATGCTCCCTCGTGAAGCTGCCTGGCCTCTGAGCCCCTGGCCAACTCCACAGGTATTATCCCTTGCCTGGACTTGGGCACTGCTGACCCTGCTGGGAGAACAAATGAAGTTTTCGTGGAGGTTTTCTTTTGTAGTTACACTAACAACAGGTGCAGAGGCACTGTTTCTCTGCTTCTGAAAATAGCCCTGGAAGGAAGGAAGTGGTCAGGCCCAATAGCCGGTTTTAACAAAAATGTTAAATCTGTCCAAGAACCTGGGTCAGGCTATGGAAAGATCAAGACGTAGAACATTTATTTCAGAGTTCACAAAGTCTGGCAAGAGCGTGTTCTGCAATCCTTTGACCAAGTTTTTTCAGATGAGAAGCAGTATGTGTGCTTCCTCCCTCTAAGCAAGCTGCCCTTTGGAGGTTTGGTCAGTTTCTCCGTATCTGCTTTATACACATGTTCAGACAGAGACTGCTAGCTCTGCAGAAAGTATTGTGTTGGGATTGTGCAACTGCTGCTCATTTAACCACTTACATTCACTGCTGGAGAAACAGAACTGTCATATGTAACTGCTTGTACCATGAAAATGGTCCATTTAGTTACACAATTGTTTTTGCAGGTGCAAAAAAAAAAAAAAAAGGCAATAATAGCACATCTAAGTTTCAGTTTTGGTTCAAACGAACATTTTAAAATCTAAATACCCATCCACATGAGTCACCAGAGAAAGAGAATACCTAAGATGTTACATCTGCCAGAAGCTTGAGTCTTACTGAGAATGCTCTTATTTTCCAAATTGTCTGTAATGTACCAGTTTAGTGTCCTTGACATTTCAAATCCACATGATTACACTGGAACACATTGCCTAAAGTTTTAGGATAAGATAGCAGCTAGACGGGAATGATTTTTTTTTTATGATTAGTGATAAAAAAAAAGTCTTTATTCACTCCTAGAATTAACATTCCTAAATATTCCACAGTACTTCTCCAATGCTATGAACCTTTACAGCATCTTTTCTGTGGGAAGGCCAGGTATGGCTTTTTAATGTGACTATGAAGTACAGAAGAGATTTCATAGGCTTGGCTGTAAAATACTCAGCATATAGCCAAATGAGAGTTGTAGTGGGAAAAAAAATGCAAAATGCAGCCTAAGCCATTGCTCAAATTTTAAAAACCTAGTGGTTTCAGGATCATAGGCAACTGAACTGATACTGGATGGAAACTTCAGGCTGGTTTAATAGATTCATGTTTTCAAGCTTTCATTTGCAAGATTGATTTAAGGTAATACAATGCCAAGTGCCTTTCTTTACCAGCTCATGAATTTAATTGGGGTAACAGATCATCTTGGTTTTTGCAGGACTGAGAGGTCTTCAAACATTGGACTTTCGGGGCTAAAACATCTCAGGTAAACCGGAAGGAATAGGTCACACTGAATATAATGCTGAGGATGCATGTCATTTGTGTTCTTTTGAGGCTGTTAAAAATCCAGGTGAAAGCTTCATGAGGAGGCATCATTGTTGATGAATCTATTACTAATACGTTCTTAGGAGTGTTGAGTGAAGAAAAGCTGATTTCATCCATTCACCACCATTGAGTTCCCACTATTTGCTGGTTCTGTTCTAAGCGTTAAAGAGCGGTACAGAAGTGAATAGAGCCTTTCTTCTAATGGAGTTTAAATTTGAGGGGGACATTCAACTAATAAATAAAAATATTCATTGGGAGATAATAAATGCTATGGAGAAAAATGAAGGCAAATAAGAGAGATGGGGCAGATATTCAAAGCTTTCATCTTGGTGTTTACAGGATCAATTGCTGGGTAGGCAGCTGCAAAGGCCAGTAGTTAAAGGGAAAGCAGGAAAATGGCGTGTATCAGCAGTGCTCAGTTGCAGGAAACAAAAACCACAGGAGCTATTTTAAGTAGAAAGGCATTGAATAGAGAGAAGCAGGTGTTTACAGCCTTGCTGGGAAGGCTGGAGGAGCAGCTTCAGGGTTGCTTCCACCTCTGCCACCACTGAGAAGGCCGGCAATCAGGCTGTTGCAGGGAGCGGGGACTCTAAGAACATGTTGCTTTTGCTGAAATCTGCTCATCAGAGTCCCTATCACCTCCACCTTAACTCT